GATTTATCGCGTCTCGTCGGGATGCGACAATTGATCCCCGAATCGACGCTCTTACTCCACCAGCGGAGGTGGGAGTAAGCGCCGTCGACAGGAAGCCGCAGAGGTCGATTTTGCCGCCGTCCTCACAGCGGGGTAAGTCGGCTGCGATACGTCGAATTCAGCTACGCTATTCACGTAGCTGAATTTGCGTATCTTAAATCGACTCCCCCCTGTAGTGTAGATGTAGCCTTAGTCACAAAGCTGCCTGCCTCCTTCTAAGAAGTCTTCTTTATAGCCGTATCCCTGTACCTAGCTCAGGTCCATTGCTAGTGCACTGTCAGTGTGTCTGTGTTTCAGCAATGGAGCCGTTCCGCCCATATGCCCATCTTCAAATCAAGGAGAAATGCCCTAAGTGTGATACAGCAAACTGCAGTCTCTTTTGGTAAAACCTAAGGGGCCTATTCTGGATCCTAATTGCACCAGCACAAAATTCAGAACAACTCCATTCAGAACAGTGGAGTTAGACTAGTGTAAAACTGGTGTGAGAGAAGAATCAGTGGGCTTGATCCTGCATTCCTTACTCATGGCAGTGATCCTGTTGAAACTGAGTTTACTGCTGATGTAAGGGTTGTGAGATCAGGCCAATAGACATAAACTGAGTTACTCTCAATTTACTGCAGAGCAGGCATTAGCACAAGCCAACAGGGTGATCCACAGTTTCTAGCTAGATCCCACTCTTGTTGGAAGGCATCTTACAGTTAGACCGAATAGTGCTGCCATTAGAAAGGGCTGTTTGTAGGTATTCATCAGCTCACCACACAGCCGGGATTTACAGATGCATCACACTCAAATGTGGATCCGTGTTATTTGGGGAATATTCAGAGTCCCTGCCTTATAACCTGGTGTGCAGTGTGCGGCTGGTGCTTACCAATATGCTACACAGCCATTATGTTAGTTAATCTTCGCATTGGCATGTGTGCCTGGGGTTGTTTAAGGATTACTTAGCAGTTGTGTAACGTTAACCCTCACATTTTTCTGTTCCCACAGCCCCCACCTCTCTATTTTACACTAAGGCAGTGGTTTTCAAATGTTGGAGGCTGCGTACCCCTTTCCAAATAATGTAGTCTATCATGTACACCCCAGAGGCGACACAGGAGGGCACAGAGGGGCACGTACCCTCCAGGTTTCTGCCTTCTATTTAGCAACAGCTTCAAGATGTTTTCAAACTGTGGGGCACACCCTCCCATGGGGGGTGCAGAGGAACATCTGGGGGGGGCAGGAGCAGCGACACCAGGTGGCTTGGGCCAGCCCTGCCCTATGGGGCTCAGGGAGGGAGTGTCCATGCCACCTCCATCCCCTGACTCACCTCAGCAGGCTACCCAGCCTGTCTGGGTTGCAGGGGGCATAACCAAAAATTTTAATTCAAAGGGGAGGCTCAGCTTGAGCTGAGTGTTGCAATATGGGTTTCTCATCTCCAGCCAAGAATTGGGGACATGAAATCTAAATGTGCATGCACACAACACCCCTCACATTGGCCACATTAAACATAAGATCCAGAGCAACATGGTTTTATCTTGAATATTCTTTACTCTAGTAGGTCTTGTACTTGCAGTTCTAGTGGTTCAGTAGCTCAAAGTTAGAGCTCCAACAGCATATTGTGTGACGTTCTACATTTCAACTGACCTCGTTTGCTGCACCCACAAGACCTGCTAGTGCATCTGTTGGCCGCAAAAGTGAATTTTTGCAATTGAGGAGGCCTATTGAGACTTTGATCCCATAAGTGTAACAGGTGGTTTCAGATTCACAATACATGTAAAAAAGAATTGCCAAGGGGCATTTTCATCACCTGGCCAATTCTGCAAACAGCTTCACTGTATTTCTAAAGACGTTGGTCCAAATTCTAGTCCTTTGGAAGTTAATCAGAGTTTTGACACTGACTTCAGGTGTAACCCGTGTGTGTGTGTGTGTGTGTGTGTTACAGTTCCTCCTCTGTACTAATGTGCAGGGGATCGTAGTCGTTACAGTCCCCAGGCATAGCAGCTTGGTGCAACCTATTTAGTTCAAGCTGTAGCAGCATGTGCATTTAGCTCTGTAGGTCCCTGGTTCAGCCTAGGGTGACCAGATAGCAAGTGTGAAAAATTGGGACGGGGGTGGGAGTAATAGGTGCCTATATAAGAAAAAGCTCCAAATATCAGGACTTTCCCTATAAAATCAGGACGTCTGGTCACCCTAGTTCAGCCCCTGGTGTGTCAGGCAAGATGGCAGCTGTGACACAAGTGGGGGTCCATCCTGTATTCAAACCACTGTGGACCTCAGATACTTGGAGAAGTTTCTTTGAGCAGAGAAAGTATGTCATGTAACCAGTGGTGAGCAGGAGCCGGTTAGCAAGAACCGGTTGTTAAATTTAGAAGCCAGTGTAGAGCCGGCTGTAAAGGAGCAAAGTCTGGTCTGCGGACCATATCCAGCCCGCGGGAGCGTCCGGCCCGCCTGAGCTCCCAGCTGGGGAGGCTCCCCTGGTCGCTCCCCTCCCCCCCCCCCCTCGTAGAGCCCCAGTGCGCTGCGCCGCTGGCGCCAGCACTCTGGGCAGCTCAGCAGCTCCTGCTGCTTTGAGCAGCATGGTAAGGGGGCCGGGGCTGGGAGGAGGGGTTGGATAAGGGGCAGGGAACGGTTGGAGGGGGCAGTCGGGGATGGGGGAACGGGGGGGGGGGGTTGGGTAGGCATGGAAGTTCCAGGGGTCTGTTGGGGTAGTGGTGGTGGATGGGGTTGGGGCAGTCAGGGGACAGGGCGAGTTGGGTAGGGGTTGGGGTCCTGGGGGGCAGTTAAGGTGGGGGGGTCTTGGGAGGGGGTGGTCAGGGGACAAGGAGCTGATGGGTTGCGGGTTCTGA